ATTACTAAACAGCTGGATTAAAAATATTTCAAGCGTGAAATAGTTTTCTTCTTCTTCTTTTTAGAGATCACTATCCTTAAACTATAGATGTTTGTTAAAAAGTTTACGAGGCTCGGTGTTTATTCTTCTGATTTTTATCCGAGTTTTCGAAGACTTCGGGGAAATCAAACAATATTGTTTCCATTAACAATTTTTCACCGTTTTTTATCTTCCGAGTCAAATAATCTTTCTTCCGAGTCAAATAATCTTAGAAAATATGAAGTAAACATCCAAACTTGTGGAAATATATATCAAAGGTGGCGTAAAGAAAAAAAATTTAAATCATTACCGAATGGAGACTTAAATTTTACAGTGCCTTACATTGATAATTACGAAAGTAATGTTTTGAAAACAAAATCCTCCGCACCTGTTGTAGTTGCGATTCATGGAGCACCAGGAACTTGTGATGATTTTGATGGATTAGCATCTTATCTTCAACAAAAAGCAAGAATTGTTGTTCCAACTTTTCCTGGTAAATATTTCAATATTATATCAATTTTACCATTTATATACTTCAAAAAAAAATTAGACTTAAAAAACTATCAATTTACGATATAATATTGCTTTGCTCATTATTTCAACTGCTTTATACTTCCATTTATCTATGTTTTGTTTTAACTCTTTTATATTTAAATCTTGGATTTCTCAAAAATGTTGTACTTAAGTTCTTAAATTAGTTTGAGTAATTTGTTAATCATTTTATTTGTTTTGAATAAAAATTTTTAAACTAGTATAAAGTAACTTTTTCTGAACCAGTTATGAATAAAAAAGCTAAATTTATTTTTATGACAGTATTAAATTTTTTTTCCCGAGAAAAGACAAATTTTTCATAGCATTTAGGATCTGCTTTTTAAATACATTTTTATAAAATCTAAGATAGATTTTCTTTAAATAAACATTTACATTCCAAAATAAGTGGAAAAATGATTAATCTAATTTTTTAAAGTAGTAACTAAAACAAGTGCTGATATAATAATTTAACATGAAAATTTCTCTAAAACTTAATAAATAAATAAATAAATCTTTTTGAAATTATAAACAAACCTTGCATTATTTTACTGTGAAGTAAATTTAAATGTAACTTTTTTTTTGTACAAGTTAACTAACTATGCAATCATGCTATATTACTTTCTGTTGTTCATATCACCACACTTATATTAAATTCACTCAAATGCTTTCTCAAAAAATTACAACTATATTTTACAACTACTTAAACTAAGCCAGTGGAGTCCACAAGAGTAGAGTTTGGGATGTTTAAATTCTTCTCGTAGATTCATAAATTTTTAATGTTAACATAGAGATAACATTTCGGTGCGCGTATGCCAGCGTTTTTTTTTTTTTTTTTTTTGAAACCTTAAGCCCTCCCATAAAGGTGGTTTGTGTATGCTTCTCAACTAAGCTATCTCACTCCTCATACAACCTCACAAATTATACTTTGACTTCCTCACATATTGCTCTTCTCACTTTTTATCTGACACACACAGCACTCTCCCCATTATTGAGAATACAATTGTATATACAACACTGCTATTAAAACAATGTTGTCTATTTTTTAAACACTTTCACTTGTTTTAGATTGTATTAATTTAATAAAAAAAACTGCAGCATATTAAGAGTAAGTTCAAAAATCACTGATTTCTGTTGCTAAAAGGAGAGGAAAAGTGCTTTATGGGGGGAAAAAATAGGAAAAATTTGGCACCATTATTAAAAAAAATTCTTCAAACCAAAAAAATCATTATTGTAGTCATATTTTGTATAAATATTTTACATAACAAAAGTATTATTAGTTTTACTTCATTTATATTTATTTATATGTGTTTTCAGTCTTTAAATTGAAAATGTGCCTAACACGCTGGCATATATTTCAATAGTTTAAAATTTTTTTTCATCATAATGATGTAAATTTATTAATCTACAGGAATTTATCATGTAAACAATCTCATTAGTTAGTTATTCAGTTATAAATCATATTGTACTTTATTCTATATTCCATTTTATTCTTATCAAACTTTTATTTCAAAAGAAAATGTCACACAAATGCTTCACTGTCAGAAATCAAGTTTCTAAATAGTTTGTAAAGTTTGCATTCATTGGGATTTCACTGCTGTGATTATGCAGAAAATTCTTTCTTCCCTCCAGGGTATAAAACATAAGTTAATGATCCTTGTGTTGCTTTTTTTTTTATTTTGTAATTTTCTCTAATTCAATATGTTTTTTCATTTACTCTTGAATTTGTTTCTCACTTACAAAAATATATTGAGCTTCCAAATTGTTATTAAAATTTTCAGCAAATGCAATCACATGTAGTTAGTGGCAGACTCGGACTACTTTAATAGGGGGTGATGTGGCCTTGTGTATGCCCCTGCCTGTAGTTTTCTACACGTGAATTTCTTTTCCAAATCATTTTCCAAACAAAAAAGAAAAGGTTGCAAAAATCAAGACTAGTACAGATATAGTACAAGATATCAGTAAATGAAAAGTATATTATTTAACACACTCATTCATAATGAGATCTCTAGATGTATTAGACATATAGACTTGAATTTTGGCAGGCATATTTCTTTTGTTTGAGGAAGATTATTTAAAATCTGGTTTTGTAGAGGTGTGAGGACATTATGTATAAAACATTCTCATTTTTGAACCATAAGACCCACAGACTTTTAATTTAACAAACGTGTTTTTATTGTTAAGTAGAGATCCACTAGTCAGTAGAGTTAAGTTTTGCACAAATCAGCTTCTAAGGGGAAGGAATGGATTACAGGGGTGTTAAAGGTAAAAATACCATTTTATAGAAATTAAAGTCCTATACTTTTTAAATCTTGAAACAAAAGCAACGAGAATGTTTTTGTATTCAGTCAAAAGCTTAGTGCTCTAAGACTGATATATCATTAACTTAAAAACAATATAGTCATGGAATTCTCCATGAAAAAGGAAAAGAGGGGTAACGGCTGGTATACATATATATTTCATTTCTCTATTATGCTAATCCTTTTCAATTAAGTTTTTTGAATACAAAAAAAACGTAGTTGTACTCTGTACATGAGATTTTGTTTATTAATTGATGTCTTAAATGATGTATTTTATAATGAATTTTTTCAAATGCAGGAAATAATTGTATTTATAAAATATACCTTTGGTTGTATGTAATTGATTTTACACTAAAATGATTCAAAACAGCCTTTTTAAAGCAATTGAACTTCATTTTAAAACCCAAATTTAATCAATTAAATGTAAATAATAAAAGCAGGCTCATATGTTATTGCAACCATTGTCATAGAAGTCACCAAATTTTAATAACTGAAAATGATTGCTTTTTATCAGCCTGCACATCATTTTTCATTTTATTTCTACTAGAAGAGTTACTGTCTTCAGTGTTTTTTGATTTTCTGTTTTTTCGTGCAGGCTTTTTCTTTTCCTTTTTTGCTTAATCAAAAATTTCTAAACTTGAGAGCATTTTTTTTATATTGAAGCAACCTTATAAAGCTGGGAAGCATGATTTTTTTCTTGACTGTTGATTTAGTAGGTAATAAAAAGGAAGAATTTGAAACATTAGTTTTCATCATAGATCTACATTAACTACATACATAAATTTGTAAATACAAAGTCTTCTGCTCAAATCAGTGTCATAGCTACCGCCATATCAGCCGTATCAATGATATGGGGCCCCCAAGCTACAGGGGCCTCAATATGGGGGAAATTCTGGCACTTTTAAATAAGTGTCTTATTTCCAAAAAAGGGCACTCAAAAAATTTTGATACAGGGCCCACTCAGAACTGGCTATGCCAGTGGCTCACATGCAATATGTCCAAAAAATGCAGGAGTCAGCAAAATGTTGTGATAAATAACAGAGTGACAACCTGAAATAATGATGAATTTTATCAAGCTGACTTTAAATGATGTCAAGATTAAGAAATTAAAAGCCACTTCAAGTTTATTTGTAAGTCTATTGCAATGAGGTTTCCACTTTCAAAAGAAAAAAAAAAACAGGAACCTGCTTAAAATTTTTAAGAAGTAAATTAAAAATTAATTAAAACTTAAATTATCTGTATGTACAAACATAGATATATATTATAAATAACTCTTGGATTTATAAGTTGTCATTTTTCTATAAAAAAGTCACAACATTTTGCCATAAGGATGACTAATATCATAAATATATCTGCATCATTTCTGTAATTACTCAAAAATTGTTTTTTTTTATTTTAAAATTCAAATTATGAATATTATTTCTTTAAAATTGTTATGTAATGTCCACTTATCTAATTTCATGAAATGAAGCCTTATAATTAGATGTTCTTTTCAAAATGTGATCTCTTACTTTTCCCAGTAATTTTTTTCTATTATTTTGGCAGCCCCGAAAGTTGCCAAATATTGCACTACATTTTATAAAGGAAATAAATGATATATTATTTCATTATAGATGCAATAAAATTATATTTTTTCCAGTATTCAGGTATGAATATTTTCTTGTGCAATAATGAAAAATATATAATTTCCACTATCATTTTGGCTATATTTATATTGATCATAATGCCTTTTGATAATTACTGACTTGCTAAAATACCAGTTCACTTTTATTTGAAAAAAGGATGTTTGTTTTCTGTAAAACACAAAGGAGAGTTTTTTATTTCCTTATAAAAATATTGTTCAGATTTATTTTTTGTAAAGAAGCGGCTCTTGAAACGTTATCATGTACATTGTTTTTCAGTTCCTACTATCAATTCCCTCTCTCCCTATATATATATATATAATCTTTTTCAAATTTTCAGTCGTTAATAAAATATCTTCTATTCATCCATTCGAGTTCAAATGCATTTTTTAAAACTTGCAGGGGATGACACTTGATGTTAATACAGTTTTTTCAAATATTAATTCATTAATTAAATTAAAAAATGAATAAATAGTAACAAACAAAAATAACAGTCCAACAGCATATGTAGAAAAGAAAAGCGTTCGTTGTGACCCCCTGTAGCGCAATGGATAGCGCGTTGGATTTATAATCCGAAAGTCGTGGGTTCGATCCCACCTGGGGTGGTCTAATTTCTTAAAATGTGATTTCCTTTTTACTATACTATTTTATTAGAAGAATTAAATTTATTTACTGAATAAATAGTAACAACAACAAGAAAAAAATAGTCCCATACATAGAAAGGAAAATGGAAAATTACAAGGAAAATAGCCTCCTATTTTGTCACTTAATATTGTGATTTTGTCATATTTATATACATATTTTTATTAATTGTAACTATTTATTAAAAAGTAACTAAAATATAAAAATTTTCTTTGTTGACCTAAGTAGGAATTGACTTACATTTTTTTATATTACCTATTTCTTTTTTAACTCTTAAGCATTTTCATTTAAACTGTTTGGGGGGTTCACTTTAAACAGATAAGATCAGGGTCAGATTTTGGCAATAGCAACACAGGCTAGGGTGGTAATGTATCGCACTTCAATTCCCCTGGTTAAAAAAGTGCTACCTTTAAAATTGAATGAAATGGCTTTTTGGTTGGTTCCATTTTGTTCATGTGCATCGATTTCTTCAAAAATTGAACAATAATTTATTGCAGTTTTTTGTTAACTTGGGCTAGATTTTTATTATTTTCCACCCAAAGCCAAGTAATAAGGATTTTTTTTCTCATAAAACTAACAAAATGGTTTTTCAGATATATTATAGATGGATAAAAATGCTTATGGAGGACACCACAGACTAGCAGAGGAAGGTAGGGGAAAAAAAAAGGAGTAATATCTTTTACTGTGTGAAAAAAATAATAGAATACTTTTAAGAAAAGTCAGCCTTTGTCATTGAAGAGAATTATGCTTTTGCCTCTCATGCCAGAAAAAAAATATATTGTTGGTAGTGATTAGCAGTAGACATGTATTTGAAAAAGGAAGTTGAACCACATGAAGAGAGACTCACCGAGTCACCTGTACCTCAAATGAGACGAGACAAATGCAGTGGCGTAACGTACACTTCCACAATGCAGAAGGGGAGAGGGCAGGGATTCTAGGGGGCCCAAAGCCTGACTGATGCCAAGATGTATTTGAACTTGAGGCCCAAAATCCTGAATTTACAGGGGGTTAAGATTCTCCGTTATGCCACTGGACAAGGGGCTGCGGTAGCCCAGTGGTTATGGTATCGGACCATGTCAGGCATGTCATGAGTTCGAGTCCAGTGTGACGGGCTCATCGCGTTTTCTACTAAAAACTCCTCTTGGGTTCTTTGGGGCCGAAAAAGACAAATTCTTTCCAACCAAATCCAGAAACGAAACGTGAATATGCAAATTAGAAACCTTTTAAATAGCAGAAGTTTAACGTAAGCGGATGGCCTATTGGGGGAAGTGATTATGCTAGTCTGGTTTAAGCGCGTGAACTGAAGGAAGAGAAGAAAGCCGTCATTGAGTGTGAAGCTATCTGTGACAGAACGATCAAATCAAGGTGTATACAATTCCACGCGAGATAAAAGATATTTAGGATCCGAGAGGATTGCGGTTAAACAAGAGATTAAGGCTGGATAATTCTAGTATCTATTAGTAACTGTGATATAAACAGAGATTAGGAATGGACGGGAAAGTTAAATATAGTGGCTAAGATCACGCTTATTTAGTAATACCTATTGTTTGTTTTCTCATTTCAGATCCGCTAAGTTATAATATAAATATTACCATTGTTAGTGTTTAAGTTAAGATCTTAATAAAGACATTTTAAGATCATGGCAACGCCTGGTTCTTCATTCACTCCCACACCTCTAAGTCACGAAGATAACTTAGGAGTAAGGTATCACCCACGGGTGAATACTTCACACCAGTACCACTAAAGACCCGCCGTGTAGGGTAGCGATGCACGTTAAATCTGTTGAGAGCTGAAACGTCCTCCCGTTGGTGTGTGGTGTGGTAGTTAGGAGAGGGGTGTGCTAGCTCATGTGTCGTTCACGTCACTTGACCATGGTTCAAAATTACGTGGTCCGTCGCCAAAAGCCCTCGTGTAGCTGAACAGTGTGACGTTAATATTCACTCAATCACGCCACTGGACGAATGATACTGTAGACCAAGTTCAAGGCATGACTTTTCAGATAGGAATTACTGTTAACATGTTTTGCATTCCAAATAATGACTCATTCTTTTGGAAAATAAATAATTTCATTCACGATTGTTTTGCAACAAATGGGTTCAACTAAAATGGACAAGCTGACTTTTCAAAATTTGGTAAGTCTTATCATGAAGGAACACGGATCCGGTACTTAATACGACCGGTTTTTGAAAGGAAACTGGCAAATGAAAATATTGTTCATCATGACTACGTAAGGTGACCGTGTTATGTATTGTGATTTTGAAAAAGCATAAATTATTATTATTATTATTATTATTATTTATATTCATTGTCAATTGAATTACAATATGCGTGAAAAAATTATTTTAAGAAAATAATTACGTACAGGTAAGGGGAAAAATTTTAATAAGAAAATAATTTCGTACAGGAAGAGGAAAAATTTTAATAAAAATTCTCCTTTTACGAAAAACGCTTCTGTAATAAAAAAAATTTGGGGGCTATATATAGCCCCAAGACTTCTATACCGGGGTTGAACCAAACTTTTTGAAATACATAATTTAGAAGTGGATTTGTTCATATTTTGCTATATCAGAGTCGAGGAATTTTAACAAAAAGCGTCTATTATTTTACTTGTTCATCACTCTAAAAAAAATGTGAGTTTTTAAAAACTTTTAGTTCAGTCTGTGTAGAGAGGTCTTAGCTATATGTAGGCAAAATATTTTTTATTGTCGAAACATTTTTCATAAGAGAATGTTTTGAATATATATCATTCTTTCTCTTTTTTTTTTGCCATAAAATTGCTTTTAAATAATTGGTTTTTTTAATAATATTCTGAAAACAATTTTATATGTATTCAACTGACACTAAATATCAAACAATTATTCATTTATATGCTTTTTCAAAATTACTGTTTCGAACGTAGTAAGTGTGACGTTAATGTATTCTTAGTCAAGGATGCATTTTCATCTGTGTGTCATATAAATAACTTGAAAGAGAAGGGATGGGATGTCTCTGTTTATTTTATATGGACTTCTTGGAAATAGGTTAACGAATTATAGATTATATGAATTTATATCTTGTGCCATGAAATCAAACAATCAATCAGTATAGGTCATAAAAATTTAGATCCTCATCATGACAACTTTTTTGTCATTCAAAGAAGTTCCAAGTTTTGTAAAACCAACAAACACACTGGTATCTCTAAATTAAGTTAAATACTGTAGTAGTGTATTGTCGAGAGTAATTAGAAAACTTATTCATGACTTCCTTTAATAATTAATCAGTAGTTGTGGGCATCGAGTGGTCATGGTCGTCATCTGGCGGCTGGTATTATTGAATCGTGGATTCGAGTCTTGGTACTACTGAAGACTCGCCATGTAGAGGAGCTAATGCGTGAAAAGTCTTCTGAGGCTTAAAGCCCTTACATGGGCATGGTATGGAAGTTTAGAGAGTGGGGGGCAGTTCAAGTATCGTTTTCGTCATTTGATTGAGACTCAAAATCACGAGTTTCCATTTTTTTTAAAGTGTTACGCTAGTAAAAAATCAAATCAAATTAAGAAGTAGTGATGAATCATTTGGGTCTCACAACTAGGGATTGCAATACCGGTATACCGAATACTGGTATTTTGAGCCATTTGTACAATTTTTTAATACCGGTATTCATAAGTTTAAATACCGTTTTTTCGGTATTCACTAGACATGTTTTAAATTGTCTCTACTATATGTTCAGGGGTTGCCGACATAACAAAATAGTATACGTTTTTGTTTTTCTGTCTCCCTAAGGGGTGAAATCAATTAGGCTGTGAATAGAAAGTTGCATCGTACAATCGATAAAATATGTGAATCCTCCCAAGGAGGTGGGCCAAAACTATCCTGTTACAGCTGAGAGCGATACTGCATACGCACAGCATTCGTAGTCTAATATACGTATCTAAGAAAACAAGGTTATAATTGTGAAGAAAGTGCGTAATATTTCGATATTTTTTTAAAAAATGGTGAGTTTGCTATTCACATTGTATTTGTATATTATACTTTAGGGTTCAAAATCTTTTTCAGATTCATTGCATATAGAGTCCTAAATAATAATCCTTAATAATAAACAAGAAAAAGAACATAAAAAATCAGTTGATAATACTTCGGTTTTGTTTCATTATTTATATGATGAAAAGAATATGGTGGCACAATGTAAAAAATGTTCAAGAGTTATTAAAGTAAACGGAAAAAGAGTACAAGCGGACTCCGTACACATTTAAAAACGAAACATGATACAAATTTGTTAAAGAGGAAAGAATGTAATTGCGTTGAAGATACAAATTTAAGCACAGTTTCTAAGTCCAAGCTATCTGGGATTTTAAATTATTTTGAAAAAAAAAAGAAAAGAAAATTTGGATGACATTATGAGTAAAATGAAGCATTAGATGGTTTGCCATTTCGAGTGTTTTGCACTTCTACTGAATTAAGAAAATCACTATCCACCAGAGGTTTAAAAAATCTACCAACATCGATTCATTCTATAAGGAGAACTGTTATTAACTATAGTAATGGTGTTCTGAATTCTCTGAAACACGAGTTAATACAATTAAAAGTAAATGATGAAAACAAATTATTTTTTGTAATATTTACACTATCTAATAAAACTCACAAACAAAACAAAGAAACACGTGCGTTTTCTTTCTTTTTCTAAAATTTCTTCTACCGATATTAAAACCGGTATCCCGGTATTAAGATCTAAAAAATATCGAATACCGGTATTGAACTTTTGGTCCGATATTGCAATCCCTACTCACAACAATGGCAACTTCATGATAAGACTTGGATTCACAACAAAATTTGACTCATTCCTGTCAAAATCCAAAGCAAGACAATCTTGGAAATAAATCTTATAGAGGTAATGGGAAAAACTGTTTCATTGCTATTTTGCTGGAGGCAAAGAAATCAAAATACTACTCAGTCATACATTCTACATCTGATGTAACACATAACAACC